CACATCTCTATGTAAAATTTGTGAAAAGATAAAAATAAACCTGAAGATAAAGAAAATAATTACTTCTCAGGTAGCTTCTTAACTTTAGATTTGAGTCATTTTACTCATCCTATGCATTTCATGCCATAGATCATATAGTATACATGGAATACTGCTGCTATAAAGAATTAAGTATTAGTCCATAATATCATGCTCATAATATCAAAAGGTGATAACATTTATTTACTTGGATAAAGTATTGAATGTTCCTAGAGAAATTGACACGCAAGTAGAGAAACTCTGAAAACTCTTTAGTGTTTTATAATACCAAGCAGATTACAATATTTTGTGGACAACAAGTTTGGTAGCAAAAAAAGGTTATTCACCTGCTGGATTGCTACTGTTGAAGAAGTAACATATTAGGTTGTTGCTTATAGCATTTGTTTAGTTCTTTTTACATATACTATCAAAGTAAAAGCACAATGGTCAGGACTTCAATAAATCATTGACAATCATGCATTAATTATAGTCCTTTTTTTCCCCTTCTTATAACATATGATCTTTAGTCTCTTTATCGTTATCTTTGAATCAAGATTCAATATTTGTTGACAAATTTTCATTCCCTTTCAAGAAATTTTGTGTAAATCAAATTTTGGTAGGTTATGGTGCAAAAACTACATGTATCATAAATAAAAAATACTACTGCAGAAACTACAGTCACTTAAGATTATGATCCATGAAGAACCTGTATACTTAATTATTTTCCATTGCACTTTTTCTTTGGTCTCTCCTTAAAAAACAGATTTATCAGTCTGCTTATTAATTAACTAAACCTCCATGTAGAAGCCATGTATTATAGCAACTTAGGAAACAGCTGCAACTTCAGCCATATACAGGGATATAGGAGACCATGGCCACGTTGACTTCCTATCAACAATAAAAACTAAAATTGTCAGTAAGAATATGTTAATGGTTCATAAATGCCCTGACCTTAGAGTCTCTAAATCTGCAAACTATCACTTCTATCACAGATAACATGTCTTCATAAACTTATAAGATCAAGTTTTTTTTTTTCTGGTTTTCACCATTATATGACAATATTAGTAAACAGCTTATCTAAACAATGTTTTAGGCTCAGATCATTTGGCTATGTTTTCACTAGCAGTAAAACTTAACAGAATAGTAAACGGATCAATAATGAGAGTTATAAGACCATCATTTATTAATTTGGTTGATTTTCTTCTCACAATGTACTTACTTTACTTGAAAACATATTTTTATACTTCTAGATCATAACTAAACAATGAATTTTATGGAGTTATGAAAATGGTGTCTAGCACTGCTACTGTAATTCTTCAATTTTCTTTTTCATTGTGAATCTTTATTCTTCCTTTTCTTATACTGATTTTACTTTTTTTTTTTTGCCCGTGCTTACAAAATGTCAACCTGTTTCTTCAACTTAAGCTGGCTATTCTATTTGGTGTGCATCTTTTGCTCCAACAAGTTGGCATATTCAGTTCTCAGGTTTGTCTAAGAAACTAAATTTTGTGCTGCTTTTTTTTGTCTAAATGATTTGGATTTTATCTGCTGTTGATTATATTACAGGTTGTGTGTCTCATGTTAAAAATTCTTGAGCTTCGGGCATATTAATTGCTATCTGTTTCATTTTTACATGATTGTGAGATACATGATGTAGTTAAAGGTTTTCTTTCTGTTATGAAGAGTAAAAGCCTTCACATGATGAGAATGAATGTCTGTTCCATATAAAATGCCTTGGATGGTAGTCTTCTTTTTTTGTCATGGACTCTGTGATCAAAGAAAATTATGATGATGTTCCTACTGTGATTTCTCAGTTTGATGTGGGTCAAATGATGAGGAAAAAAGATTGTAGAAAAAATGCAGTTCATAGATAGAGAAAGAAACGATTAGATAGAGCAGATAAGCCAACCTCTTCAAACATTGTTGCAAAAAGAAGCTTAACTTTTAAAACTCCAATTCCCAGAACTAATGTACCTTCTGCTGAGAAGACAACCATTGAAGCTGTTCCCTCGATTGCTGCAAAAAAGGGTCCTGAAGACAACAAGCCTGCATCTCCAAAATCTGCTCATATGAGCCCTCTCAAGAAGCCACGTGAATTTGCAAAATGAAGCAGCCACACAGCTTCATGTCCTCTTTTGTTTATCATGTATGCTACTGAACTTCCAGCATACTATTGTTTGCCATCATATTAGAATCCATTAACATTATCTGTATGACTAGAAGTTAATGGATCATAATATATGATATTATGTAACTAAAATGAACTTTGAAAAAGACTATTAGCATGTCAATGTATCTCTACTTAGGACTTAATTGTATTGGAAGGTGTGTAATTGCTACTGAAATTGTTGACAGCTATCTATGAATGATAATTATGGTATTATGTACCTATTCTGCAACTAGAATTGTTATATATACTTTTCCAATGATCAGTATTTTTTGGAGGGCCAAGGCTGTGCAAGGCACAGCCTGGTTCCTCTAGTACTATAAGATAAGAAAAGACCTAAAGTTACTGTAGCACCTTGTTGTGCTGACACATGGCACAATAGATGAATTTTGGGCCTTTTTCCTTTTGCTTTGTATATAAGCTTCACTTTGCCATACGAAGTTGACATTCTTTTAGATGTGCTGAATGACTTAAATTAGTTGCATTATTTTTAGCAGCCTTAATTATACAATTTATATAATTATATTATATGTACATTAACATTTGAAGATAGATTAACTTAAAATTTAACTATTTTTTTTTTCACTTTCCAACTTTATCATTTAAATTATTTATAAATTTATATTTGTTAAAACATATGAGTATATTATATGTATATTAACATTTGAAGATAGTAAATTGGTTAACATTTGAAGATAGATTAACTTGAAATTTAATTATTTGTAAATGACTTAAATTAGATGCGTTATTTTGAACAGACTTAATTATACAATTTATATAATTATAGTATATGTACATTAACATTTGAATATAGACTAACTTGAAATTTAATTATTTTTATTTCACTTTCCAACCTTATCATTCAAATTTATTTATTTCTATTCCAGTTTGCAACCTTATCATTTAAATTATTTAAAATTCTATTTGTTAAAACATATTAGTATGTTCTATGTAGATTAACATTTCAAGATAGATTAACTTGAAATTTAATTATTTCTATTCCAGTTTTCAATCTTATCATTTAATTATTTATAATTATATTTGTTAAAAATTATATATCAGATTTTATTTAACATTATTGAAAATTATATTTGACATTTTAACTTATATTTGACAAATTAATTCAATTTTTTAATATTTGAAATTCTTTTTTTAACCGTATTATTTAAAATTTTATTTGGCTATATAAATTTATCCTATCCTATTATAAAGAATAAAATTATTTTTTTTGGTCTAATGTACATTTTTCTTGGTATTATACACAAAATCTAGAACCTCACAATAAAATCTACATTTTTCCTGTATTTTTATTTATTTTATTCTCATCTAAAGTTGTACAATTGAACTAATCTAAACTTATACAATTGAACTAAAATTACGACTTAATATGCTATATATATTTATTATCAATTCTATTTTAATTCATTTATACGTTTGTTTCTTAAAGTTCTCAGCTCCAGTTAAACGTTCAATAGTTCCAGTCAAAACTTGAATATAATTCCAACTTATTTCTATTGAAGATTGAAGAAGGTCACAAATTATCGATTCCAATTAAGAACACTCCAGAAAAGTACTTACATATTGTTTGGTTGCCCAGTTTTCCCGCTTGTTTTCTTGTAACAATATCAAAAAAAGGATAGCCATTCTTCAACTACTCCCCTTTTCACCGAATCAGATTAGACAACAACTTTTTTTTTCTGAGAGTTAGGTTGAAATGCCAATCTTCTGAATAGTTATCAGCTGTACTTCATCTTTTCATGGCCATTAGATTCAAATACAGAGTACTAGATTTGGTCAGATTGAATAGTGCAGTCCATGCTACTATGTACATTAATAGCTTTTGTTCTCCTTTGTTTTTCCTCCGTTCACAGACTGCATAAACGAGCCTTCCTTCGCTCTCTTGCTTTCTCATCGTTTGGTAATACAACTTTTCTTAGCTTTTCCTTCATCATATTTGTGGATTTATATGTTATTGTAGTAACATACAATTTCTTTTACATGTTTTCTATTTTTACACTGCAGCATTGCTTCGAGGATTGAACATTTTGGCTTGCACCACCGCTTTACTTGCCGGTTAGTTCTATTACTCATAACTAGCCTACCAAGTGTTTGATAAATTGCTTGTTAGTCTTTCTTGATGCTTCATATTTACAACTTTTCATCAGCATTGATAGCTGCTTATTGTTGATTTACATATGCTGTGTGCCTGTGATTGTGAAAGTCTGCTGATGAATATTCAAACTGCTTATTGTCAGCTACTTGTTCATCTGCAATATGTTTGCTTACCTCTTTAATCCATAGCTAACGTTATTGAATGTCTATTTCATAACTAACCTAACTCTCACAAGTGTTCCTCCTCTGCATGGCAAACAGCCTACTACAAACGGCTATGTCATGATGTCTGATTTTCAAGGCATTCCTTTTATAAGTTTCCCACATTTAGGTAGCCATTTAGAGAAGAAAAACTACAGAAGACAGGCTTACCTTAGATGGAAATCAAAAAGATTACGTTATATCATTTTCAAATAAAGAAACGATCTTCCACTGAACCAGTCAATATTCCTCTGTTGAATATTGATAGAAAACTTCTGGAAAATGGCTCTCAAGCTGAAAACAATGACAATATTAAGCTTCCTAAAAATAGGCAGCAGTCATATACTAGATGGAAATCAAAAAAGTCTCGCAATGACAGTGTCCAGCCTGCTGAGCCAGTTTGTACTGGAAGCATACCTACATGCACCAGTATAATTCAGGCATCAAGCAATTCTGAAAACATTGCTACACCTATGAACCATAACAAAGGTAATTCCTTTTATGGTTCATCAAACTTTTAATGTATCATTTACTTAGTATTTTATTTACTAAAGTTATAATCTGATGTGTGAAACCATTCACTGCAAGATCAAGGAATGCAGACGTCATATGAACGGAAAAACCATGTGCCAAAGAAAAGAAAACGTTCAGGTTATAGTCAATATTTGCTACTTTATCTTCATTAAAAAAGAATATTACCATAAAAGTTTCTAATGTAGTCAGATATTATATATATATTTTTTACTTTAGGAAGCACTCCAGGAAAGGAAGAGCGTTATTCTACCTCCAGTCAGTACAAATGAGGCTTATGTTGATCCAAGAGTTATTCTACCTCCAGTCAGTACAAATGAAATCAGTCGCATAAACAGAGCTCTTCAGGCCGCAAGATTTGTAAGACATTCATAACTTAACCTTTCAACAACATGAGTGATAATTAATTACTTCTACCTCGACCTCTAATATACTCTTAATGACAGAAACGAACAGCATGGATTGAAGGTCGAGCTGAAATTAACTATCAAAAAGCTCCTTTCTGGTATTTCACATGCTCCAACTGTCATGAACCCACTGACTACACAGGAATCCTGGACATTAATTGCCACTATTGCAGAGTGAAAATCAACCCCTCTCCTAGGCAAGTAAACGATATTTTTATCTGCCTAAAAATTTTCCTTCCGTGATTAATGAAAAAATAACAAGTTAGCTAACACATCTAATTACATATATAGAGCTTTCATTGCACTTACCATACTTGATGCCACTGGAAAAATGGATACACTTGCCTTGGGAGAAGAAGCTGAAAAATTGATGTCCATTCAAGCTACTGAACTAACCGAGATAAACAATCAGGTATTAAAAAAAAAACAACTACAAACTGCTGACATATTAAATCTCTTTACTTCTTAACATGTTTAATTCCGACTATAGCAGAATATGATTTTACTTCATCACATAACACAAGCAATCCAAGGAAAAAGACTATTGTGCTTTGTTAAAAAGGCAACTCCAAGAGAAAAAGCAATCAAAGGAACGGCATTCACCATTGTCACCAGCTATGAAGTTGAACAACTCGCAACTGAGCAGCAAACTTCACTGAACTTCCACAATGATTATGCATAGCATTAATTTCCAACAATATAATGCTTATGTACTTAAAAACTGAACTACTTCTGTTTCATTGTAATTATCTTGTATCTCTTTATTCTACTTGCGTTAATGTATTTCTGTTATCTTATATTTGACGATCCTTTATGTTAATATACTTCAATTTACTCTCTTTTGCCTTAAAAATAAATATACTTAAACTACACAATCAATTCTAATATAAATGTCCACCTATGAAAGCATTAAATTTGAAATGTAAATAAACTAAAATAAAATTTATTACAAAATTGGAGGTGGGCACTGGCTGTGCATAGCACAGCCGGGCCTTACTAGTAGGTTCTCTACAATCATGGTGGTGATTAAATAAGTGTGAAAATAAAGTACAAACTCATGATGGGCATGGTTCAATTTTAAATCGAAGGGATGAGATTAAATTTGGAACATAAATTCAATGGAAGGACAAAATTTTGTTATATATGTATGCTATTTTAGTGTCTAAATTTGTTATTTATTTTTTAAGAGTGTTTCTTGGGCCAGAGCAAAATTAGGGCGTCATCAAATCTTAGAATCAGCAGTCGTCTCCCTCTTCTGCTGCTCCAACTCCAGCAAAGGCTTTGCAAGAGATATTTTCAGATCCAGCCGTCGCCCTTTTTTCTTCTGTTCTAATTCGAGCGCTTTTGCTAGAGCATGTCGCGAACAACAGAGAAAGGGATAAGTGAGAGACTTTCCTTCAGCTGTATTTTTTGAAAGCATGAAAGAAAAACAACAGGAAACCTCGTGGTGTGCTTCATGCAAACGGCTGGTTATGCGGATCCAATGTTTTATTCTTTCAAGTCTTTTCCAATTCGGAAATTGATTCACCATTCTTCAAGCAAGCTTAAACCGAAAGAGGAGTTTCTCTGGCGTGAGATAAAGGATGCATCTGATGCATGCACCCCACATTACTTTGCAATGAGGTTCATTAAAGCTGGAGGTTTGGTCTATGCTGTTGGTGGTGTGAAGGGCGATGAGGAAGAGAGGCACTTGTTTGAGCCAGGCAGACTGCCCCGAGAGTTCAGTTGCATCTCTCTCACAACTCCTCTAGAAAACTCTCGAGCAGAGATTAAGTGCCCAATGCATGGGGCAAAGTATTGCCCCCTTATAGAGGAAATTGATGGTCGCATCTATGTCCTATCTGGGCCCCTGCCCAACTATGGATCCCCTGATATAGTTGACATCGGCTTTGAGGTTTATTATCCTTCAGAGGATAGGTGGGCTGATCTGCCGATTCCTCCTTTTCTTGAAAAAGGTAGTTACTCCGAGATGTTTAGGTGCTTCTTTTCATATGTAGTGATTGGTTCAAGGTTGTGTGTTTCGACTGGGGAATATGCGTGTGCTTTTGACACTGTCCAGTGGGAATGGGAGGCTTGTGAGTTATTTTCTGATTTCCCTCTTCAACCTACCGAACATTATGTGCGACATCTAGATTTCAACCTACCGAACATTATGTGCGACATCTAGATGGTTGCGGTCCTCCATTTCCTTTTCAGAAAAAAGCCACCCTATATAAAGACAATTTCATTTTGTGCATTATATCTGCCTTCCATCCTCCTGTCAGTGCCTTTCAAATTTCTGATGAGAAAGCGGTAAAAATGCCCCTTTTATTAGATGGCATGCCATATGAAGTTGCTGTTGATCTTGTTGATTTAGGAAATGATTACTTTGCTGTAATGCTTTTTGAAGATGAAACAGATAGACGTGCCAAAGATCTGACAATTGTCATTTTCAAGCTGCTTTCAGAAAGAGGGGGAGATGGAGCTCTGAGTTGTGCATTGGTAGGTACGAGGACTTGTAATGCAACAGAGAATGGCTATACTATGTGTCTCATCTATTCCTTCATATTGTAAGTTAACAAAGATTCCACAACTTGCACACACCCGTTATGCTGCAGCACTCTGATGATTGAGGTAGAGAGTGCCATGTGTCAAAATGGTTTTCTTCTTCTCTGTGTGTGGAAGTTCACTTGGTATTTCGTGCCAGAGCACATGTGGCTGAAGATTTAGAGACTTTGAAGCATTCATGTCGATTTTTAAGTACAGGGTAGGCTTTTTTCTTTTTTGTTTTGGGTGTACTTGGAACTTATTAGTGTGAACGATTGCTTAGTACATTTTGTTATTTTTATTCTATGCTTGTAATTTAGGAGCATCTGTCATGAACCTGCTGATGGTCTTTGCCAAAAAAAAAAAAAAAAGAGTGTTTCTTGAATTTAGGGTTAATTATATTTATCTTTTGACCATTTTAACTAAACTTCCTAGTATTCTTTTTTGTCTTTGATTCCCTTTTCCTTATTCTCATTTCAGCAATAAAAGAACCAGGCAACAAACGTAAGGAGGTACAATTTTTTTATTTGTTGTATAAATTGAAGGTCTCAAATCTGAAATCTTCCACTTACAATTTCTCCTCTTCTACCACTTAATCCATTCCTTCTTCCCACACAACCAGGTACTTTGTTACCCATATGTCAAAATACAATTTATATAACTAAAATACTCTAGCTGATTGCAAACACTTTTATTAGTATTGATTCAATTTGTGTACACGGACAACATGTGCTAGACATCAAGGCATCAGGAATTCCATATTTCCACAACAATTGCTGGGTGACAATTGACAAATACCTGCTAGTCTTTTGATTATTTATGAAGAAGACAAATCAATTCCTACAACCACCCCCCCCTCCAAAAACCAAAAAAAAAAAGGACAAAATAAACTCTTTTGTCTCTTCATGATTGAATCAATTTGGATACGAAGTCTTTAGTGTTTTCATCTGAACTTCCCCCTTCTTCAAGAGCCTGTCTTGCCAAATCCTTCCACTTTTTTGCATTTTTCCTAATCTCTTGTCCTATCTCCCCCTCCATCACTGTGATTAAGCATTGACCAATGGCATCTCTTCTAACAATTCCATTTTCATCTGGCTGAGCCTTGATTCCCATTTTCCAAATGTCCTTTACAAACTTGGCATTTGTGCTTTGATCTGTCCATTGTGGCATTGCTATCATCGGGACTCCCAAACTTAAGGCCTCCAATGTTGAATTCCACCCACAATGAGTTATAAAGCAGCCTATAGATTTGTGGGCTAAAACTTCAGGCTGAGGACACCACGAGATTATTAGTCCTTTGTCAAATGTTTCTTTAACAAAGTCTTTTGGCAGCTTCTTTGACTCTGATTCTCTAACCACCCACAGAAAATGATAGTTGCTGGTTCTCAAGCCCCATGATAATTCTTCCATCTGCACAACATCAAGTTCTGCCAAACTTCCAAATGCTACATAGACAACTGAATTAATTGACCTTTCACTGAGCCATGAAACGCACGCGTTAGTCATTGGTTTAAAGAGATTCCTTGTCATCTTCAAGGCGCTTGTCTAAGTACATGGAAGGAATAGTTGGTCCAATTGTCTTTACTGGTAGGATTGTTGCCATCCAATCATTCACCTAATTAACCAATACAAAGCAAATAAATTCATAGTTGTACAAACAAATTCTTTTTAGATTTTATTTGAGAAAAAATTGTTCAAAACATCCCTCACATTTTACAAAATGACTTTTTTCGTCACTCACTCTTAAAAGTGTAATTTTACATCCCTTATAAATTCACATTGGTCAAGTCTGGTCCCTACCTAGGTTTTCAACTAATTTTTTGCTGAAATCCACCATCTGCCTTGCACGTGATCATTTTTTAAGGGCAAAATTATCAAATCAAATTTCACATAATTTGATTTTTTCGTTCCTCACATTTTACAAAATGAATTTTTTTATCCCTCACATTTAAAAAAATAAAATTTTTCATCTCTCACATTTCACAAAATTAATTTTTTCATTTCTCATTGATCATGTGTTTGAGTAGTTTCTTTTTTCTTTTTAAACCCATGTGTATATATTTATTTGATTTCACCTACAACTACAATTATCTTATTCGGGTGAAATTAATAAAGATATATTACATACTATTTGTATCGTTCATGTAAAATGAAATAGATATGTGCATGAGTTTTCAAAAATAAGAAACGACTATTCGTACACATGATCAATAAGGGATGAAAATTTTCATTTTGCAAAATGTGAGGGACAAAAAAAATTATTTTGTAAAATGTAAGGGATGAAAAATTTATTTTGTGAAACGTGAGGGACTATAGATCAGATTATGTGAAATGTATTTGATAATTTTACCTCTAAAAATGATCTGCACGTGGTAGATTCCTGCCAAAAATTAGTTGAAAATCTAGATAGGAATCAAATTTGATCAATGTAAATTTGTAAAAGATGCAAAATTATACTTTTAAAAGTAAGGGATGAAAAAAATTATTTTACAAAATGTGAACATTTTGAACGATTTTCCTTTATTTGACAAGCAGCTATCTTGGCATGTCATTAAGGACCTAGATTTGCCACGAGCCACCTCATAATTTATATAAACTAAAACTGAGGTATATTCAAGTATGCTTACCTTCTCCTCCAACTTGTAAAATGTGTTGAAGAAGATCCAGTCAGCTTCTTCAATTTTTTCCATTTGGTCATGCACAACCAGCTGAGAAGTTGCTGGATATGGACCAGGATCAGAAACAAAACAAGGCAGATCTGAAGCTAATAGTGGTGGCAAACCGGGAATGTCCACTTCAGTCGCCTCTAGAGGAAGCTTCTAAAGCCCTTTGTGGACATGGTAGTAGATGTTATTGACAGCACAGGATTGAGTGAAGAACACTCCCGCACGTACGCCAAGATCCTTGCCTACATCTAGACACCAAGGCAAGAATGCATCATAAATGATACAATCAACAGGACGGCCCGAATCTTGAAGTTTCAAGACTAGCTCAGTCAGAGTTTCTGAGCCAACCTTTTGAAACTTCAGCAAGTATATTTCCGGTGCAATTCCATTTGCTCCCTCATCATATCCATCAGAGATGGCCTTCACTGAGATAGAACCTGAGACTTCATTTACTGTTTTAAACAAGGACTTGGTTGTAGCGAGGGTAATTTTGGTGCCCTCATGTTGCAAACGCTTAGCAAATTGAAGCATTGGGTTTATGTGGCCTTGAATGGGAAATGGCAATATCAAGCAGTGAGCTCTGCAAGTTTCCATAAGTTGCTATGCCCAAGAAGCTGAGTCTGGACACTTTGGAGGTTCTACACCTTTGTGAGCTCTTGGAGGTGTACTTGCAGCTTGTATGAGTGGATACAAGAAAATGTAAAGAAAGCAAGAGAAAACACGACCGGAGAAATTAATATACGAGTACCACAGTAGGTGGTATTGTCCATCGCCATGGGGCGACGCCAATTGAAAGATTGCATAGTATTGTTCACTCTACAGCAAGTGTTGCTTTATTTTTTATTCCGCCTAGAATACAAGTGAGTTGAAAACTTGGAACTTGCATTTATATTTCATGTTTGACAAGGGAACTATTCGATTCAATCCTTAGCACCCTAAATCCAAAATTTGTACAAATTTATGTGACCTTGGGTGGGATATGGCAATATCAAGCAATGAGCTCTGTAAGTTTCCATCAATTCCTCTAACCACGAGATTTTGCTTGCATGGACAATTTACTAGAGTAAGAAAAATATATAGTGATATATCGTATTGTTATTTCTGCAATCCCTAACAAGTGCAAAAATCCAAACCTGGCTTATTTTGTGTTTAAGTCAAAAAAGAGGCTAAATTTACACTACTGGATTCTAAAATCACACTTCAAAAAAAAAAAAATTGTAGTGCTAAGTGACTTAAGTGTAGATTTAAGGTGGGCAGTGCGGATTTAGCTAACGGTTTTGAGTCAACGTTCTCACATCTTTGTTCAAAGTAGGCTGCTGCACTAGAAAACAAGACATGCACGCTTTATATGCATGCACGAAATGATTACAAAACAAAGGCAACGTTTTTGTCTTCCACAAACATCAACTCATTCTTTTATACGTGATAAATGGTTTACTTTCCTCTGAGATTGATCCAATTCCATGATCATTATCATTACTGTATAAAAAATATCATGAGTTTTGATCCTTTAATCTTAGTTTTTGTTATTTCAATTATGTCCTTGTTAATTGATGATTAAAGTTTCATATTACACTCTTTTTAATTTATTGTGATGATCAAAATTCATTATACTACATCTATTGACTTAAAAGAAAATAGTTGTTGATGACAAGACAAAATGTTAAGCATTAGAAACTAAGAAGAATCTGGTCTTAATTTTCTATTTATACAAAATACCCTTCTCCTTAATAATTAGATATATTGCATTTTAATAATAACAATAATTGTAGCGGTTAGGAGAAAAATTGTAACCGTAATTAAATTTGAATTATGAAGGCAATAAATAAAATATAACACTCCAAAGCAATGTGTCTCTTTGTATTCTATTTTTAGTTTTTTATTTTCATTAAAAATTCTTGATCAATCGCAGCCTAATTAGATTTTTCAAATCTTCAAAAATATTACTATTGATGCCAAAACAAGGTACTCTTTGGATGGTAGAATCTTTTTGTGCTTTATATTAGATTTTGCCCAAAAAATAAAAAATAAAAGAAAGCAAAAGGAAAAAAAAAGAAAGCAGAACTCAATTATCCCTACCATTGAAATTTTAATTTTCAAAAAATGAACAATTAGATGGAAAAAATTTATATGTGGTGAATCATCTATACTTCATTGTTAATAGAAATAACACACAAAATAATATGAGTTCAACTTCAAAGAATATACATATTTTCATTTTTCAAATAACGGTGCATATTTTATAGGTATAACATTTTGTGAACTTTTTTTTTTTTTACTTTTAAAAATAATGGTTTTTAGGATAATTAATTAAAGAAAAATAAAAAATTAAATGAAAAATAGAAAATATGCAAATATTAAATTTGTTAAAATAATTTTTACAAATAAATGTTAATGTGTAAGATATTGTAATATAAGATAGCTAACCCTGAATATCTGCTGGACTAGATTGAAGTTCTTTTTAATTGGTACTAACACAATAAATATAGACATTAAACAATAAATTTATTCAATAAATACCGACATATAGATATTGTCATAGTAGGTTCATTAAGACGCGTTTATACACCTTATCTTATTGTCTGTAAGAGTTGTTCTTATATCTATACTAGGAGGGGAATGCCCGCGCATCGCGCGGGTGTTTGGTGCTTATAGTTAAAGAAGATTTTACAGTAGTTCAAGCGAATATCAAAAAATTCACGCACATTGAGTAACAAAATGAAGTAACAAAATATCTAATGTATACTGGGAGGTGGAGAAGGAAATTATGCATGCTATCTTGCTCAGTTCATATATTTTGAAACAAACACTTGTGTATGAGCTTTTCATTAACAAGACTAAATGAACTTTAAACAGATACCCAAACGATTCAGAGAATGACAAATAAACAAAGTGATTATCCACTTAATGATGCATCTACACAACATTCTTGTTGATGAAAGTAGCCAACTATGGTGGAGGCTTTTTGATCAAAGTAGCCAACATTCTTGTTGATCGAAACCTATTCCAACAAAACCATACCATTTAATTTGTATAGAATAACCAACTTTGTGGGGAAACATTACTATCAACATTAAATTGCGCTAACAGAGTATCCAATTTGGAATGAAAGCATTTAGCTAACAATAGAAATTAAAAAAAAGAATGAAACCTCACCTCAAGTTGAACCACCAAGAATAACTTCATTAGAGAACCATATTGAAATCTAGAGTACAATAGCAATACAAATAAGTATTTACCGGAAGATGAAAGGAACATAACGAAAGAATGTGAAGGGGCAGACATTTGAAGAATTGAAGTTGAAACTAACGCTCAATCATAAATTCCTTAATAAACCACATTGTCCTTGCTTTAATTGAGATGAAAATGATGTTTGAAGTTCTTCAAGTTATAATAGCAAAGTAATAGTAATAATTGATTCAAACCAAAATGAATGTCTCTGCAAGGACATTTAAGTAATTACACCAATAAAGAAGCTATTATGGGTTGTACCCATTGTAGAAAAGATGACCAAATAATCTCACATTCCCAGACTACCCAAACCTTTGAACAAATCATCACTGCATCTTTTAGAATACAAGGACATTTCAGTAAACACAATAATACACATGCCATCTAAAGTAGTACCCAATACTATAACTACACTTAAAACCACCTCACAATCCCAAAATACCCCTACTCTTGCGGTTGAAATTCAAAGCCATTTTTTAATCCAAACTCAATCTTATATAGTATAAGGATTTATTTTGTTAGCCATACAATGTACGGTACAATAGCTATTGCCAATGATAGAGGCCCTAGACCAATTGCTAGTAAGAATTGTAACATGCAATATATACAATGACATTGGTCCAGTAACATGCAATAAATGTATTGACATTGGGCCAATGGCCACTAGGATAGGGTGCTAACTAATCGAGCAATTTTCGAGCTACTTGCGAGCTTAATGCTCAAACGATCGACTTGACTCAAATTGACCAAGTTAGAATTGATCTTGAGCAGTTTATTTAATCAAATGAGTCAAATATCGATCATTTTTAGTTAAACTCAATAGTTTGTTGAGCTTGTTGGTCAAGTCCAAACAAGTAGAACTCCAGCATCTCAAAAACCTTAACAAATCAAATTCGATCTATAGATTTTCAAACTCAATCGAGTCGACCTTGAGCATAGCACTGTTCGAGATTGACTTGGCTTGTTTGCACCTCTACACCAAGGGGAACTAACTTTCTTCATAAGGTGTTAGTCAAGGTTTGAACCCTACCAACATCATTTCAATCAAGAAGCACCAACAGTGAGCAAGCACACCATAGGAATAGTAGGAAACGTCCCTCTTTCCCCACCATCCCCTTCTCCAAGTACCCTTGCTGATGCCTCTCTCCCCTCGACATCGCTTTCCCTAAAACCCGTCCCTATAATAGGATAGGATTTTAAAAAAAAAAGAAAAAAAAGGAAAAAATGATCCCTCCTTATAATAGGAGAGGATTTCCAAAAACAAAAAAACAAAAAAAGGTATTGACAGAACATGTATAGGCCCTAAACAACAAATGCAAAAACTAGGAAATTAATGTGTAAAAAACACAAAGTTTTGTTACTGATCAAAAGTTGCAATCATAATCAATTCATTCATCTAAAAGATTTAGAAAAGTTACTTTTATAATTCCCTAGTGGAAGACCCAATTATCTCCTCTAAGGAAAAATAGTACTTAGTCCCTAATATACAAGCAGTGCCCCAATGTAGTCCCTTCTGTTGAAATGTTAGTAATCAATTATGTAAACATTAAAAATGTTAACAATCATGCTTCTTATCATATAAATTTTTTAGAGTATTTTAGTGTAATGCCTAAACTATAAGAATAATACAATAATTCACCCACTATCCTCCTAAAAATTTAGACCTCAACGTAAGTAAACATGTTGCATTGGACATCTTATCATGAAAAGAAAGGCCAAAAAGCTATATAGTCACATGAACTATTTACATCATCTACTTTTCTATCATTAAACTCTTTTTTTCTTTCTTTAAAGATTTTTCTAACAGGTGTTCATTAGATACTTCTTAACATACCTAAATTTCACTTAATCTACTATGTATACACACTTTAACAATTACTAACCACCTTTGCATGCATACACTTTCTCTAATTAATCTTACCTTTCTAAAAATCTAACACTTGAAGTACAATAGACACCCGTTAGACAAACTATTCTTTTAAATAATCAATTGAACTTAGAAAATAGTATATTTTGGTCATGTCTTCTAATATTAGAACAAATCAAAATGAGATAACCAAATTTCATGCATAAGTTGTTTGACTTGATCACTAGAACTGAGACAGTAAAATTTGTCAAGCCTTTATCACTTTAAAAGTTGTGTAAGCAATCTGAAATTATAAAAAGTTGAGTGACCAAAAATTGCATTCCAGTAATCCATTTTTCAATTTATTTCTCAGGATAAGCTGTATGGAAAATAGCAAAAGTCTCTAGTTTCTTGCATCATTTTCTTTTTTTTTTTTTGTTTTTTGAAACGATAGGAATTTTATTGAAACGTCTAAACTTTACGGTATTTGAACAATAGCTCAAGCATCTTACAAAAGTGTATCTGGACACTTGAGGGGAAGCAAAATTCTCTCCTCATCTCTAAATATGCCTACAGCATACGAGCTAAGACTAATTCATAGATTCATATTATCAGAATTTCCTACAGAAAACGAGCACATTTAAAACAAGTTAGCAAGTAAATTCATCTCTTCCACCAGTGTAGACATTTTTATGTCTTTAACTGTTCCTGCGCGGATCATAGAAGTGAATTGCCTGCTTTCAGTAACAATTCTGATCCTTTACCACTGTTGCTCTCTTGCCTTGATCAGACCTAGTCTTACAGGTTCGGCCTCACCTTGCATTTTCTGATGTGAGCTTCTCTCAACCAGTGCCCATTCTGCAAGTACTTGATTTCCATTCTTCTTTGCTAAAATCCCAATTCCCAGCTTGTTTGCATCATTGTTACCTCTGGCAGCTACTTGGAGCTTAATGCCATCCCCTTCACTACTTTCACCCTCCTTTCTGCTTCACCATTTTCTGTTGTGCTTCTATTTTCCTCCCTTTTCATAGCCTCTTCATACTCCAGCCACTCGCAGCTAGCTTTCTGGATTGTCTTGATCCCTTCTTTTTGCTTTCCATTGAATTCCTTATCATTCCTATCTTTCCAAATTTGCCAAAGACTATTGGCCGTCAGAGCCAGATGTTTCTGTCCATCCCTACTACTTCTTGCATGTACTACAGACGCCCACCATTTCTTGAAGCAAACAGTTTGATTCTGAACTCTATCCTATTGAATTGGTGCTATTTTCCATGTTTGCTTGGCCTGATAGCAGTGAAAAAAGTGCATGCTCTAAGTTTTCTATCTGCTCTCCACAACTTGCACAGATTGGATTTCCTTGCTTTGTCCTCTTGAATATTACCTCTGTTACAGTCTTACTGCCACAGTATTAGTAATAAACCTCTAGACAAAGATCTTAATCTTATGTTTTATATTTAACCCCCACTGTCTTCCAAATCTGTGTGTTGTTGTCATCAACACTTGTTCCTTCTTTCCCTGTTCCTTGTTGTTGCTTCTCCTCCTCCCTCATCATCAGGGCTCTGTAAAAAGATTTCACTGTGAATTCTCCTTTCTTGCTGTGCACCCAGTAGTGTTTGTCTGCTCTTCCTGACAGGCTAGTTGGAATCTTCAGAACGTTCTCATCATCTTCCCCATTGAAGATTACATTCCTATTCCATTTGTAGTTGGTAATCAGCTCTCATACTTTTTGCTTCTCACAATTCACTGGTCTCACAGTAGTTGGCCTCCCATTGTTGGGAACCAGTTATCACTCCAGATATTGATACTCTTCCCTGTGCCCACTCTCTTCAATGAAGTATAACTTTCCAGTTGCCAGAATGATGGAGCCCTTTGTATTTCATGGAGCATTTCTTGACTTTTGGCTTCAGATTAGTTCCTGAAGAGCCAACCGCAGATTGCTGTTGATAATGCAAAAGTTGGGCTTCACTACAAATTGCAGCTGGGGATTTCAATGGTCTAAAACGCAGTACTTTCAAAAATTTCAGGTTCTTTTCTTGGATTTTCTGTTACTCTTGAATGTCTTGTTATTGTAGAACCAAGAGTTTAATGGTCATCTCCTGTTTAAGCAAAACCCCTTTTCTGTTTTAGCCCCAGAATTGAAAATTGGCAAAATTCCAGGTTGGTTGATTGTTTGGCTGGTGTATAAAGTTAAAAATGTTTCAGCCTTCTCAAGCCCTGCTTAAAACCCCAACTGGTAGTGATAGATTGAGTGCCCTTTTAGATGACATTCTGCGTCACATTTTGTTATTCCTTGCAACAAAAGATGTTGCAGCCACCTCCATTCTGTCCACAAGGCGGAGAAATCTTTTTATTTCAGTTCCTGATGTCGATCTTGATGTTGGTACGCTCCAATTAACTGAGGCAACTGATCAGAATGACAGTAAAAGGCTCTTTTTAAGTTTGATTAGTTTAGGGAATAGACTGTCGTATCGCAAAATCAGGTTCCTGTAAGAATATTTAGCTGTGGTTGTTGCACTTTATTGAAAGCTTGGCAGTTGAATGGTTAATTTTTGCTGCAATTTCACTTGTTGTCCAAGAACTTGAGATTTTGATGGCAATTGATCAGAATGTACTCTATCTATTTCTTCCTAGAGTATTTACATGCAAAAAAATTGTTACGTTGAAACTGAATGCGGAGGTGGTTATGATTGTCCCGGATTCAGTGTCTTTGCTGAGGCTTAGAGTGCTTCGCTTGCAAGCCTTCGGATTGGTAGGAGTTTCTGTTCGTAGGCTTATTCAGGGTTGTCCTTTGCTTGAAGAATTGTACTTATTCTTCCGACCTTTTAAGAACAGTGATGGAATTAATGACAAAAATTCTTGTGATTTCGAGTCTTAAGTTGAAAAAATTCTTGTACTCTCTGGTATGGGCGGTAAGTTCCCTATTGGTGTGAAAGCGAACAATCTTGAATATTTTGAGTACAGAGTTTATAGAGATCATGAGATGATTATGGATTCTCCCATTCTTAAATATTTCAACTACAGAGGCCTTGGGTTCAAAGTAAAGGTCATGCAATACCTCATGTTTCTTGCTAGAGCTGCAGTAGAAGTTAAGTTTCTTCATGGTGGAAGAAATGGAAGCAACTTGCTTTCCCGTAGACATCATGCTTTTGAGTTTGTTCGTGAGTTGCAAAATGTGAAATCACGTAATATATCTCACTTGAGTCTGAAGGTGTGTTTTTCCTTTTCCTTTCTTCTGATACATTTCGCCTCATTTTAGAGATCTTATGAAATTGACTTGTCTAGATTTTCTCCTCATTGTTATGAAGGCTCTGTCTTTCTAGAAATTTATTGCCAACTTTCAACGACTTAACCATTGTGGAGCTTCTAATTATAACGATGCTCTTTATGTGGCAGTGTAGCAAGTCTCGTCAAGCTTACCTGAAAAAGCCCCTAATCATGAAGTGCTAATCCATAACAAAGCGAGTTAGGACCAACGTTATTGTCGCAGAGTCAATTCATAATGTTCTGCATTCCCTGATCTTCTCCTTATGTGCAGCGTCCCTGGGGAACCTTTGTTCCGCTAGGGCATTTGGATTCGGCTTTTGAAAGGCATTTCCAATACACTTAGTTGTGCATCTTAGGGAGATAGGAATCAGAAAATTCAAAAGGGAGGCAGATGAACTCGAGCTAGTGGAGTACTTTTTGCAGAATGGGAAATCCTTAAAGAAGATAACTCTCTTTGGGAGGATGAGGGTGTACTTTTGACGAAACCTTGCTTAGTAATGACCAATTTAAGTTGTGATTTCTTGGAAAGTCAACGAGCTTGTCTGGATTAGTTTTATTAAACTTGCATGCTTTTGCCTAATGATCATGCACTCACTTTTTATTCTTGATGAAGAGTTGATTAATCCTTAAATCAGTCTTTAAATAGATCTAATTGTGATAGTCTAAATAGATCCAAAGGCAGAGGCCTAGTAGCTTGATACCAGTTCATTTAATATGTGGGATGCTATTAGAGAATCTTTCATAGGGACTAAAGAAAACAGGAGAAACACTACCCTTCTGACTATCATACTTTATTTATTTATTTATTTTTGATTTGGATGAAAATGAATAGGGAGATAACTTATCTGGATTGTCATGATGTTTCATGATTTCATAACTATCTTTTTAGTTAAAACAGAACACCGATTAGAATATAGAGAAGGGCGTACTATATCTGCACTTGATTTCATTCTTTAGATGATCCTTTTTTCATTCTCAGAGGAATGGATAGTGGGAGAACTTGCCCCCCGGGCTTGGTCTGGTGGCAAGGGGTTGCTGAAGATAGGACTTGGTCTCTGGTTCGAGCCTTGCTGCCAGCAAGTTACAGGAGCAGAGGATTTAGTCTGCGAGATCTACTCCCTGCGGGACACCCAAAAAAGAAAAAAAATAGTGGGAGAACTTGGATGTCAGGATATTTTTGTTCCTGAAACGATTTAGAGGTACTGGAAGTTGAAGCTTTGCATTTGTTGGTAGCCTTTTCTCACCTAGCAGAGATCACAAGGAAAAAAAATACTTATACCATGTTATCTGTACTTTTCTTCACTCAGACAACAGATTCCAATTCTCAGTTCTCAGTTCTCTTTTTGCTCTATTTTGTATTCTTTTCCTTGATAGTCTTATTTCAACTATAAAAGAACTGGGGTGATAAATTAACTCAATTATAATTTGCAGTACTATAAAAGAACTGGGGTGATAGCAAACACTTTTGTTTACATTGCGTTCAACTTTCATGTACTACTGAACAATATGTGCTATATTCTCATTGCTGTAGCCACATTTCGGATATCACAACGGTTGCTGGTGGAAACCTCCTGACAAATGTATAGGGTCAAATTCACTCATTTTTCCTTAATTTTCTGATGATGGTTGCATTAATTATGAAGAAGACGGATCTATTTTGTCAACTCTTCAAGACTCAAACCAGTTTGGATACAAAGTCTTTAATGTTTGCATCTGAACTTCCCCCCTCATCAAAAGCCTGCCTTGCTAAATCCTTCCACTTTTTTGCATTTTGACTAATCTCTTGTCCTTTCTTCTTGTCCATTACTAGGCTTATGCATTGACTAATCACATTTCTTCTAACAATTCCATTTTCATCTGGAAGAGCTTTGATTCCCGTTTTCCAGATGTCCATTACAAACTTGGCGTTTGTGCTTTGATCTGTCCATTGTGGCATTGCTATGATAGGGACACCCAAACTTAAAGCCTCCAGTGTTGAATTCCATCCACAATGAGTAATAAAACACCCCATAGATTCGTGCGCTAAAACTTCCAGCTGAGGACACCATGAGATTATTAATCCTTTATCAGATGATTCTTCGAGAAAATCTTTTGGTAGCTTGTTTGATTCTGATTCTCTAACTACCCATAGGAAATAGTAATTGCTCTTTCTCAAACCCCATGCTAATTCTTCCATCTGCTCAGCATTAAGTTCTGCCAAACTTCCAAATGCTACATAAACAACTGAACTGACCGACCTTTCATTCAGCCATGACATGCAAGCTTTAGTCATTGACTTAAAAAGATTGAGACCATAGTGCTTGTCATCTTCAAGGCTCTTCTCTAGGTACATGGATGGGATAGCTGGTCCAATTGTCTTAACTGGTAGGATTTTTGCCATCCAATCATTCACCTAAGCAATATACATATAAACAATAAAATTCATATTAGTAGACAAAGAGCAAGTTTTAGTTTTGAAATATTAGTTGACAATCACATGGCTTGGCATGGTCATTTAAGGACTTAGCTTTGCCACTGGCTAGCCAATAATCTATTTGGCCACAATTGAGAATATTCAAGTATTTTTACCTCTTCCTCCAACTTGTAAAATGTGTTGAAGAAAATCCAGTCAGCTTCTTCGATGTTTTCCATTTGGTCATGTACAACCAGCTGATAAATTGCTGGATATGAAGCATAATCAGAAATAAAAGAAGGCAGATCTGAAGCTAATAGTGGTGGCAAGCCAGGAATGTCCACTTCTGTCTCCTCTAGAGGAAGTTTCAAGCACCCTTTGTGAGCATGGTAATAGATGTTATTGACAGCACAAGATTGAGTGAAGAAAACAGCCCCACGTAAGCCAAGACTCTTTGCCACATCCAGACACCAAGGCAAGAATGCATCATAAACAATACAATCAACAGGACAGCCTAAATCATGAAGCTTCAAGATTAGCTCAGTAAGAGTTTCTGAGCCACATTTTCTAAACATAGCCAAGTATATTCCTGCTGCAACTCCATTTGCTCCTTCGTCGTATCCATCAGAGATGGCCTCCACAGAGATAGAACCTGAAGCTTCTTGCAAGGTTTTAAACAAGAATTTGGTTGTAACAAGTGTAATTTTCGTGCCTTGATGTTGCAAACGCGTAGCAAATTGGAGCAGTGGGTTTATGTGACCCTGGATGGGAAATGGCAAAATCAAGCAATGAGCTCTGTAAGTTTCCATCAATTGCTCTGTATGGACTCTTTTTGAGGTATCACAACCTTTAAGAATTAAGAGTTCGTGGAGAGAGTACTTATAGCTTGTATGAGTAGACAGAAGAATGTGTACAGACATGCGGTTGGGTGGATATGGCATCTTTTGTTGTATAAGTCCAGTTATATTCTCCATTTTGTATTTCTTTTTGCCCGAGATAATCTATGTTGGCCGCCTAAGAACAATGTGATCTGCATTGTACATTCCAAGATCAAGATATCAATAAACAAATAGCCAATGGATCCAAGTCTTGACTAATAAATTTGGCAGTTGATAGGAGAATTTTTTTACTCCAAGGTTCATATCCATAGGTCATCGACATAGATTTTAGTATGAATCACAACTACAAACAGAACACAGTAAACATGATTGGAGAATCTAAAGCAGCGCAGTAGGTGGTACTGTCAATAGATATGGGACAAAGGGAAGGATGGCATAGTTTTGTCCACCCAAATCCATTGTAGATTTTTTTTTCTATAGAATCCAATTCAAGGTGAAAAATCCTAACCTGGCAATATTTTGTATGTAATTCGGGGGGAAAGTTAAATTCGCACTTCTGTCATATATTCGCATTTTCTTCGAAGTTCCAACGTTAAAGTCATAAAAAAAATTTTGCAACATTAGTATCCTTTTATTTTTCTTTTTCAAGAGACTCTAATTCTTACGAGAGAAAGGAAAAATAAGAAGATTTGAAAATCAAATGAAGAACCTCAAAGTCATCCAACTACGTTCCTACCAACTGATTGAGTTGTGGGAATAAAAGTGTTGTACGATAAAAGGATGTAGATTTAGCCCCTATTTGGCTATGCCAAAGTCCTTCTGTATTTGTTGGTAGCAAGATGCTGCATACTAACCCTTAAAAACCACACGTTGCATGAATGAATTTCCTAAAAGCATTGTTTTGAATACTGGATCGGACTGGCCAATTCGACTAGTCAGATCGCAAATCGGTCATAGCTCTGGTTTAGTTCATACCTCGGGTTGATTGGACTTAAAAATCGTTAAGAATCATTTAAATTGTATGAACCAGATTGAAGCGTTGAACCGACGATTTTTTTGTTTTTGTCTATTAAATTGAATATATATATATATATATATATAATAGGTTTTCCTTAACCCTAAAGACTAATTATTAAATACCACGTCCACTCAATTTCTTCTCATTTTTTGCCCCTTATCAAGTTTGCAACTCTATTTTCTGTTTTCTTAACTTCCTCTAAATTCCAAACTTCCTTTTTTTTTAAGTTGTAATCTCTAAATTCCAAAAATGTGAATTAAAAATTTAAACTTACAATGTCTAATTTCCATGGACGTGAATTTTGTATAATTTTAGAATATTGTAGTACTTTTGAATGGGATTTAAGATTATTTTTTGATAGATACAATTGAAACTGGGATGAAATTTATTTGTTGCAACTTATAATTTAAAATTTTTATTTGTGAAAATCTAAGTTCTTTGAAAATATTAAGCTCTTCATCATATAAAGTCTTAAATTAGTTCATTGCATGTCTTATTTAGTATGTGTATGTATATATATATATTATTTTTTAAAAATTTGTTGAACCAAGGTTGAATAGATCTGACTGATTGAATCTCGATCCGAGCACCTCACCGGTTCAATTAATGGTTCGAGTTTCAGAACATTGTCTAAAAATGAGACTTTAAGAAAGAAAAATTCTTATAGAGTGGCGTTTTTCAAACCTATTTCTAAAGGGTGATTTTTTCTAATTTTTTTCCAATCATTTGAATGCATTATTTTTCAAATCTATCGAATGCATTGTTTCCTCAAAAGATGCATTCACTTGATGCGTTTTTTGATTTGCAAAAGAATTCGCAGTTTAATGGAGGAAAACCAATAATTGAGAGTATTCTCAATTAGACGGCACACTCTGTAACGGATGCTATTATGCCCAGCCCACATTTGATGTTGAAAACTAAGTACCAGGATGCTATCTAAATGGGGCATTTTTTACAAAATGAAAATTTGGGTTATCTTGCGCCCTTTTGGGTAACGGATGCTACTATGCCAAGCCCAAATTTTCATATGACAGTTACCTGGTTGCCTTTTGATTGTTTTTGAAGAAGACGATATACTTTATTATCTCTTCAAAACTGAATCAATTTGGATACAAAGTCTTTAATGTTTTTATCTGTACTTCCCCCCTGATCAAAAGCCTTCCTTGCCAAATCCTTCCAGTTATCTGCGTTTTTCCTGATCTCTTGTCCTTTCTCCCCCTCCATCACTACGCTTATGCATTCATGAATGACATCTCTTCTAACAATTCCAGTTTCATCTGGCTGAGTTTTGATTCCTGTTTTCCAGATGTCCATTACAAACTTGGCGTTTGTGCTTTGATCGGTCCATTGTGGCATGCCTATCATTGGGACTCCCAAACTTAAGGCCTCCACTGTTGAATTCCATCCACAATGAGTGATAAAGCACCCTATAGATTTGTGGGCTAAAACTTCAAGCTGAGGACACCATGAAATGACTAATCCTCTATCAGGTGTTTCTTTAACAAGATCTTTTGGCAGCTTATTTGATTCTGATTCTCTAACCACCCATAGAAAATAGTAGTTGCTAGTTCTCAAGCCCTGTGCTACTTCTTCCATCTGCTCAGCATCAAGTTCTGCCAAACTTCCAAATGACACATAAACAACTGAACTGGTTGATCTTTCATTTAGCCAGGACATGCAAGCATTAGTCATTGGGTTAAAAGGGCTGAGACCATACTGCTTGTCATCTTGAAGGCGCTTGTCAAGGTACATAGATGGAATGGTTGGTCCAATCGTCTTTACTGGTAGGATCTTAGATGTCCAGTCAATCACCTAGGCAATATATGCAACAAATTGATCAAGCATCTAGTTTTTGGACAAGACTAGTCTTGTGCAAAATGCATAAAATGTAACTTTATATACATACAATGTAACTCACTTTCAATAACGTATAATTATAGAATAAATTTTTATGGATTTCACACATAATATGAAAAACGATGTATAAAATAAAATGTAAACCTTACATATTTTTTTTACCAAATCTTAGCCATGAACCATCAGGAATGATTGCAACCGTTCCTGCCTCTCGTCCCTAGTTTTTAGTTCATATGCATTCCTCACGAAATGAAAATAAAAAAAGCGAAAAGAAATATGAGGTAATGCTACTATTTTTTGTCTTCAGCAGTGGATGTCACTGAAGCCATGCGATTCGTGTGCCAGTATAGTTTCCTTGTAATCGTATGATACTCATAGAAGTAATATGGCCTAATGTTAAGGGAGTCAAAATGTGGTTACAAGGACCATCCGACGAGAACGTAGGCACATCCATATTTATTGGAAGCCCAACTTCGCAGGGTCATTAAGGAATAAGGTTTGCCATTAGGCAGCAGTAATGTACAGGTAATATTGAAATAAATCCAGATGTTCTTTTACCTCTTCCTCCAACTTGTAAAATGTGTTGCAGAAGATCCAGTCAGCTTCATGAATGTTCTTCATTTGGTCATGTGTAACCAGCTGAAAAATTGGCGGATATGAACCGTAAGTAGAAACAAAAGAAGGCAGATCTGAAGCTAAAAGTGGTAGTAAGCCAGGAATTTCCACTTTAGACTCCTCCAGAGGGAGTTTCAAAAGTCCTGCGTAGACATGGTAGTAGATCTTGTTGACAGCACAAGATTGAGTGAAGGACGCAGCTGCACGTAAGCCAAGACTTTTGGCCACACCCAGAGCCCAGGGAATGACTGCATCATACACAATACAATCAACAGGACAGCCTAGATCTTTAAGCTTCAAGATTAGCTCAGTTAGACTTTCTGAGCCAACCTTTTGAAACACAGCATTATATGTATCAAGGGGCACTTCATTTGCTCCTTCATCATATCCATCAGAGATGGTCTCCACTGCGATTGAACCCGAGACTTCTTGCAAGGTTTTGAACAGGAATTTAGTTGTAGCAAGTGTGATTTTGGTGCCTTGATGTTGCAAACGCTTAGCAAACTGGAGCATCGGGTTTATATGTCCTTGCACGGCACATGGAAATATCAAGCAATGAGCTTTGCGAGTTTCCATTTGCACTAGCCACGGGACCAGGGTGCTTGTTGCTTGCTACGAGTAAATATAAGAATTGTTTCACCAATGTGGCTAAACGGATATGGGAATAGTCTGTAGCTAGAGTGCAATGATATGATTGAATCACACTTGCTCCCCTCTGCTCCACAAACGATTGTTGGGTCAAAGCGACAAGGAGTTTGATACCCCGCAATAGATTTCGGATTCCAAATCTTATGGACGGAGAAAATAGTGTTCGAGCCACCCTTCAAAAGGGGTTCCAAAGTACTCAATTTTGGATTAATCAATATTTTAGTGAATGTCAGCGAGTATTAAAAAAATTTAACTCATTAAAACAGGTTAAATGCATACTCAAACAAAATTACAAAAATTTGAATTTTTCTAACAATAGTAATTGAAAACTTGATAGTGCGTTAAACCAAAAAAAAAATACTAAATGAATGTACACACTCAAGTCCATTTACAAACCCTTACAAAATCAAGTCTACAGCTTGATAAATGCAAAAGCATGTTACTTATTTCACTTGAAATGCTCTTTCTACTTGCTCTACACGGCTGCAATGAAGGGTTTTTTTTTTTTTTTTGAAAGTTAAAGTAAATCTTCATTAAGGGTTCTCCTTTGGGAAGTTTACAAACCAAACGTGGCTTCCCTCAAGTGACAGAGACAAATGAGACAATAAATGAGCAATGAAGGGTTCTTTAAATGCTCTTTTTTTTGTTTCTCTTGCCAATTCTCATTCAACAACAAATTAAAGAACCAAACACGCAAAACACATGTAGGTTTTACATTAGACTGCCAAATACTTGAAAAGTAAGCGGGAGGGAAGAGAGAGAGGGGGGACCATCTGTCAAAATTGATCATATCTTTTTACTTTTTAGCTGACGGCAAACACTTACGTCAATGTAAATGCGGCCAGTGTACCAGATGTCCACAGGTAACAATTATTGCCCGTTTACTGCAAACGTCATTGCAATTGTGGTTTAAATCCCCACGTCATAATTGGTGTGCAAATTATTATCACAAATAACTTCTAGAATACACTTTTCCACGTGTTTGGATACACATTTGAATAGCAATTGTTTGATTAAAAATTATTTATTTGTATTATAAATATATTTTTTAATATATCTTTTTATCTTTTCAATTTTTTTTATCTCATATACATTATATTGTAAAAAATGCTAAACTAATTATTTCATATAATATTTCAAATAATCTCCTATCCAAACACTACGTATATCTAATTAATGATTGACTATGATTTACACTAAGAAAATCAATTCTCTAGGTGTTCAAAAGTTTGACATTTTTTTATTTTATGGAGAAAAAGGAAGACCATGAGACTCAATTTTAGTAAGAATCATCTTAAATTTTTTTAATTACATGACTGGTTTTATACAAGTATTTATTTCGGAAAAATTTTCTCAAAAGCTGCCACAAATTTTAAGGTTCGTGATTGTAAAGATGTGCACTTTAATCGGTTCCTTTTTTCTCATCTAACAAGAGCTCATTAGGGAAAAAAAAAATTTTCTTTATTTTTTTTCTGCTTGTCTTGCTAATTCTCATTCAACCACAAATTAAAGAACCAATCATCTAAAACACAGGTAGGTTTTACATTAGATTATAGGGATAATTTCAGAAACCTCCTTGAGGTTTCTAACAATTTCATTATCCTTCCCTGAGGTTTGCAAATTACACAACTCTCCCTTAAGGTTAAGATTTTTGTAACAAAAATAGTCCAAGTCATAAAAAGTAACATTAAAGAGAGAAATGAAACTTTTATTCCATAAATACCCCTTATGCATGTATATAAGTTGTATTAGTAAAAGAATGAAAATACTTAGAAGTTAGAAACAATTAACAAACATATTTCACTATTCAAAAAGTTCACATTCAATACATTAGGCAATACGAATAGACAACAAAACTATAATAATGATCACAAAATTCAATAAAAAAAGACCAGTCATATCTCTTCATATGAGGTTTCCCTCTTTTTTCCTTTATTTCAACGGAATTAACTTACAACTATCATAGGTTCAAGAGTTTCCAAAAAAAATTTCTTATGAACAACCTTCTTTTCCCTTATAGCTTTTTCCTTCTACTAAAGCCCCTCTTCTCACATTGCATAAAATTGATTTTTGGTCATTATCGATCACCAAATAGCGTCATTTGGTATATCAATTGGCATTATTTTGTAATTGTAAGTCACCATTCATCATTGAAGAAATTCTCAACAGTTTTTTCCGTTAATTGGTTACTAACAATTAACTAGTGTTCTAATTATTCAATCGTTAGATATTAGTTTCTAATAAGACATAATGTCTTAGGGTATATGAGTAATTTCTCCCCATATAATGTAAGTAATTTGGCTCACAATTCTATAAAAGAGAGGTAAGTGTAATTTTATAAATTTCAGAGGAGGCTAGTGAAATTGTTTGAAATTTCAGAAAGGTTTCTAAAATTATCCCAAGATTATATGTCAAAATATTTTAGAAAATAAAAGATTATATGCAAAAAGACTGGTCACATTCACATTGATGTATGTGTTATGGATGGTCACATTTACAAAGATGCAAGTGTTTGTGGTCAGCTAACAATTATTGCTGATATTGACTGCAAACGCACTTCGTGTCGTGGCAAATTTGCAATGAACTACATGGATCCAGCTACATGTACATGCTTGATTAACAGTGTCAGGAGGTCACCATTAAGAGAATTTCATATATTAATTTTTGGTAAAAATCAAATGAATTTAAGAAAAATGTCCAAATGTTGCAGGTGCAATGGATGCGGGTGTGTGTATTTACATAATAAGTTAGGTATAATTTAGGTGTAATAACCAATACTTTAGAAAAACTTACGATTAAGAATACATGTTTAAGAATTGGTTCTAGTTGTCCATTAAAATATATATCTAATATGACCTCAAATTTGGAAGTTAGTTTCTTAGATCTAGTGAACGTATTTGAAGAGGGAGGTGAATTCATGAAAATTTATTTGTGCCACAGCCAAGTGTACTTCTGCTACAACTCCATTTACTCCGCAGCATATCCATCAGAGATGTTCTCCTTTTTTTTTTTTTTTGTCAGTAACGATTGATAGAACGGTTATTTGGCGTATTTTGCACTATTATTTTGTCCTAATTTTGGCTATTCACGGTACTAAGAATTGGAATTTCACTCATATTCGATATTTGTGTGAATTGTAGGTGGTAGGCATGAAAAATGATCTCGCGGGGTAAATTTCCAGAAGACTTTTCGTCTCAGGGCGTGGCCACGTCTTAGAAGGTGGACGAAACCGAAAGCCGGACTGCGGTCCACGTGAACCGCGAGAAACATGGGATAAAAACTCCAAAAGGCTAGCTTTTGTTGGGAGGAATTGGGCCAGACGTCTGGAGAGCTCCTGCGGCGGCTATAAAAGGAGGAAAAAAGCAGGATTCAGGGATCATCACTACTTTTAGCCTTAGTTTTACCTTTTTGCAAGATTGGTCAGACGCTTTTGTTTTTCTTTTGTTTTCTTCTGCGGCTTTGGGTCAGACATTGGAGACTTTCCTTTTCTGTAGCTTTTGCTTTTATGCGACTCTGACTCCCGAATTCGCTCTTTTCGCCTTTGACAATTCTCCGTTGGCTTTTGCTTTGTAATTGCGGCTCCAATACAAGACAGAGCCAGGTTTTTCATTGATTGTTTCTTCGATTAATTCATCCTCCCCAATTTCTGGGCAATTGATTCTTTGGAAATTAATTGAATGAATTCAATTAAATCACGCGGGATTGACACGATGAGGAGCGGCTAATTTTCTCCTCTACCCAAAGGTCGACGCGAGGGCGCGGTCCATAATATATGTGAGATCTAATCGAATCTTCATTATTTCCTCCAATTAATTGCTATTCGTGCGTTTCCTGAATTAATTGTTCATGGGTATTTTATTAATTGAATATCAACGGCCGGGTATTTGATTTAATTTAATAGCCTACTGCCACGTTAATTAAATAGAATCCGTAATTGTTCATTTAGTTAACACCCCGTGGCAACCACCATAATTGGCTTTATGATGGGGAAACGCAAGATCTAGCTTAAATAAACCCTCTTAGCGTGTTTATTGGTTAGGGTTGGGTTCTTCTAGGTCTAATGCAATTGAATAATTAAATTCCTACGGTCGTACCTAGGGTTGTTATCTGGTTAGGGGAGCAGTTAATGGTCGTACCTTGACTGTCGAAAAGGTAAGGAAGAATTGGTTATCAGAGCTTGTTGATAATTATAACCAACCTAATGACAAATGGATGAAATATCTTTGCATCGATGATCAGTTGAATGGACCGTATCTGAAAAGTTGTACCTTTGGTTAGAGTCGTATTGGTTATTGATTACTTTCTATTTATTTCTATTAGTTGCTTTATTAGTTAGTTAATTAGTTATTTCATATTCTCCAGAAACCCCCCATACTTCGGACTCTAAAAGAAATAAGTTATCCCCAATCCCTGTGGATTCGACCCTACTCACCGCTATATACAAAATCTGTATTTTTCTCGAGTAGGTAATTATTATTGGACAGGCTCGACACCTGTCAATTTTTGGCGCCGTTGCCGGGGACTGGTGCCTGATTAATTTGTTTCTTTTTGAGTTCATTTTTTTTATTTTTCTCTTATTTTTTTTTTGTATATATTTTATGGCTGCTAACATTCCGTATTTTGGTGATAGACTGAATTTTAATTTTACAAGGGGTCATGAGACTCATACTTTTTCTAATGATCAATGGGCTGTTGCAAATTGTGGAGCTTATTTTGCTTCGAATTTTTCACCCGACATATGCCCTGCATTTCAAGATGGTCGAAGTACTCCAATCGATACTTTTGGGGATTTTCCACCTCAATATCAAACGTGGCATGACCCTTATTCAAACGGGTATGAGCAAGGATGGTGAGATGATTCCACTTTTAATTATGAACAAAGGCCAATAGATTTTCAACAGCTAGAGTCTCAAGGACCGTCATCCATG